CGCTACTCTTCTTTCTTTACCCGTCGGATTCATGTCCTTCGCCGAACATCACCACACAACCACATACGTTTAGCTCGGCCATTATAAGTGTCTTGTTTAAATGCAAATATGTCCTATCCCGTTTGTGACCCGTCCAAACTATCCAATTGTTGTGTGCGCTTCGACAAACACACACACACACACACACACACACATACACACACACACACAAACGACTGTGTGTCATTCGTTTTCTTCAAGGACGTGATATTTGCCCTTTCCAATTCTTACACTAAGCCACCACCAGACCATGTGAATTGGTTCCTTTTTTATTTTTTGTAAAGAGCTCGCTACACGGTTCGTAACATTTATATCTACATCGTGCTTCCATTTTTCGAGTGTACTTTTTAATATTGCATATCCAACAATTCACTCTGCAGGAAGTAAAATGTACCTATACCTATAGGTACATTTGATAAAAAAAAAAACAAAAAAAACTTTATTGGAATTTCAATTATTTAACGCTCTTGTATTATCGTGTTTTTATGCTACCTTTTGAGTTTAATCATATACAAGTTTCGACTAAAAACATTTTTATTCTATATTTGTGTCTGTTAACATTTAAATTGGAAACCGTTTGTTTAAAGGAATGAAGAACTCATTGTTTTTAAATTTCAAATTAAATCATACATCGTGGTATTATCATTAAAATATAATAAGGTAAATTAAGTTATTAATTGCATAAATTATACATTTAAATTGTGTACAACACACATACGATTACTTTAAAATGCCTCGATAAACTGTAAGTTTATAACACACATGATTATAATAACACTAGAAAGCCGTAATCAATATGATTTTTTTATTTTGATTTATTTCTAAAATTTTGAAAATAAATAAAATATCACTCAATTTAAAACAATAATACAATTTTCTAACAGAAAAACAAGACTATACATAACTGATATTTTATAGATCCGAAATTTCACGAATATATTTTTAGTCATTCAGATTCTACAAATGTGATTGAATTGCATTTGGTCAATTTATATATTATTCTGATTCCTAATAATGCTACATATGAAACAGCAAATATTGACCGAACACACAATGCTATTTCAGTAGGTAGCAAATCCCTTAGGAACCAAAAACGTAAATTGATATAAAAGTTTTGAATTTGAAGAATAATATATATTATATTCTATGACTTATATGTATTATAATAATAATCCTAACTATATTCAATCATTAAATTACATTTTTTATTTAATATTTATTGTACCTATTAATTTTGCACCTCACACTTATTTTTACTTAATATAAAAATTACATTTTTTTTATTTAAAGTTAGTTTATTGGTTCAAAATATTACCAAAGGTTTAATGAAATACATTTTTTATAATTTATTATGATTATTATTATGATGATAAATTGATTTGGAAATGGTTGAGATTGTAAAATGAAATTTGTATGTATATAATTAAAACATGAAATGAGACTATGTGAAATAGCAATTAAATTACTTAAGGTAAAATAAAATATGATATTATAAAATTAAACAAAAGGCGTTGAAGGGGTTTTGTAAAAAAAATGACTAATGATGTTTAAAAAGTTGCTCACACTGTACACTGCTCTGTATCCTATAAACAATTGCTGTTGTTGATTAATTGTTAGCAGAACGTTGTATTCTATATACATTAACCTCTACAAAATTATAAAGAATACAGGTAAAGAAATATTTAAATAATTAAATCAACAAAAACAAATATCGTTGAAAGCTTTTTAAGATTATCATACTTTTATTGAAATAATTGATAACTAATGCCTTAATTAATAAAAATACCTAATTTTGTTTTAATTAATCCATATACAATTTTTTTTTAAATAAATAGTTTTAATAAATTACATTGTAATTTGCATTTCAAATTTTAAATAGCATCAACTATATTAAGTGTAAGTTATAAATTGTAAATGTATTGTATTTTATAAAGTCTTCGGTTTTTTATTCAGCAAATTCATCTAATATGTTTCTAAAAAGTAAAAATATCTATTGCATATATCATAGTATATTGAAATAGGTACAAGTGTCATGTTACTAAGAATACAAAGATTGATGTAGTTAACTTTTATAGTTCTGCTTAGATAGTTTACTTGTTTATAAAATAGTAAACATAAAAAAATATACCATAAAAATGCTGGGGTTGATATTAGAATCATAAATAATATTTTTTCATTTACTTTTTCCATATACAATTTAGGTGATATGTTACATAATATTCATTTGGTTTTAAGTTATAAAGGTACACATGAAGTGACATAATAAGTATATAGACATATTATTATATTATTATATTTATTTTGTAAAAATAATAACAAACTTGAGAAATTTAAATTAACACTTAAACAAATAAATTAAAGTTGTTTGATAACGATACGATTTATTAATCAATTCAAAAACAAACACATTTTATAATTATCATTAACTATTGAAAGATCAAGTCAAGAGTAGAAACACTATACAGTATACAGTGTATTCTATAAAGTTAAAGTTACATTTAAAATAATAATGCACTAAAGTTTTTCAATTTAAATATGTCTATTGTATAAGTATATATACGATTGGTTCCGACGTATCTCATTAAAATCGAATAGATATTTTAAGCTACCATTTAATTTATAGATAATTAAAAAAGAGAATATAAATTCAGTTTATCATTATATTTAAAACAAAAAATCAAAATCAATTACTTTTCTTCGTTGTATTCGTTGAATATGTTACAAGTAAATTAAATGCAAATATTATTTGAGTTAAAATTATGTACAGTATTTTTTAAAAATTATTCAAACAAATAATATTAATATTATTTCCAGAATATCGATTTATTTACTTTTTAACTTATAGCTATAGTGTTTTTAAAACAATTAAAATTCACTCAGTGTGAAAAAATCAGTCAATAAATCCGAGAATATTGTATTGAAAACAATACGAAATCAAAAAATGAATTTAAACGTTGACATGACATTTCAGTTTCAACAACAACCATGAACTATGCCATGTACACAGTTGAGTTTATATTTGATACCTAACTGATAGTATAGTATGATAAAACTGTGGTTACCTGCCTTCTATTGTTAAGAGTCATGTTTTGAGCAACACGTAAAATTGTCATATTTGTTGAATTATTTGACAGAATTATTTATGGTATTGATATGCGTTATATTATACTATACCTATGTCAATAAAACGTATTATTGTTATTATTATTATTTTTCATCAAGAATTCATATGATAAAGCAAAACTACGTTTCCAGTAAATATTATATGATAAACCAATATATTATATAAAACCACGTATTTTTGCATACTATTCTATTATGACTAAAGTTACACAAATAAAATATAGTCTACCGACAATAAGTGTACAGTAACTATTTTTCGGCTTATTTTGTAATAGAAATGGATACCAACATGTTTTTTTTTCACATAAAAAAAATTTAATCAAAGTTCCGGAACTTTAAAATACTTGAAACTATTTTATACTATATTATATTTATAATAGAACGACTGTGCTGGTTTCTATCAATCTGTTACAACGAATTTATTTTTTAGATATTCCAAGTTACAGAATCTTTCTACTAGCATACGTTATATTCCATCTGTATGCACTGGATACTCTAAATTGGACACAGCCCACATAATCCCCAAGGAGTAATTGATCTTCAGGCTCATTTCACCATTTCACCTTCTGTTGTGTTATGAATTTATTCATTTTTTTTTCATAACATTTTGAATTATATGAACTTGGATAGAGTCGTAAACGGCCACGAAACTCAATTTACATAATGTCGTCTTTCTTTTTGTAAAGTACACTACGTCACGACAAGATTTTGTATAAAACTACGTTTTTGAATACATTTATCTATACTATAAAATATACGGAATGGTACGGTTTGTTTTTTTATTCAATTTTAACAAAAACGTAATAATAAAAATAATTTCATATTTTAGAGCAATAAGGCTGGAGATAAGATTTTCGATTTATATTGATTAATTTGTTGCATACATCTATAATTTTAAAATATTTATTAAATACCTAAAAGGTATAAAAAAAATGACATATTTTGTTATTCGAGAGTCTACATAATTGTTTTTAATTTTAATACGATTAGTGTATCATGAACAATTTATGAAAAATGAAATCGTGAGTACATTTTGTTGGTGTTAGTTAAATTGATATTATTTATACCGTAGGAATAGTAATACAATTTTCCATAATCCCAAAGGATATTAAAATCCTTTTTTCCAATGGAAACAATCGCATCTGATCATATTTTGAAATGGGTTTTCTCACTTTAGATTTTAGTTTTCTTTTAGATATCATTAATATTCAAAAAGGCATGTGATAAATTTAATATTGCGTTTATTTACACTAACTACAAACATGTTACGGAGAGTGTGTAGGTTATTAGATTGAATAGTTTTGATTATGTTGGTTTTTTAGATTAAAAATGTAGAGAAGTTTCAAAATTTTGTTTTAATTTAGAAAACATATTCTGTCTTGTAGAAATGTTTTGAAAGTTTCAAAAGTGTATACTTTGGATTACAAATTGGAAGTAGATTGTACTTAATATTTCAACATTGTAATGCTTTTGCATGGAAGAATAAATCTCAAAAAGGAATCAAATAAGCTGTATAACTTCCAGCATCTGCTTATTTATTGACTTTCATTTCAACTAAATAAATTCATAGATATTTAAAGGATTGCAGTTAAATATTTATGATTATTTTTTTTTATAATAATAAAGTAATAATCATATTATGTTACCCCATGCAGTCATCACTTTTATATTTTAGTTTTTCAGGTTTTCCTTTAATGAAACGTGATTATAATATTTATTGGGCAATAATATCATTTTTTGTGAAATATATATTTTTTTCGAATCGTAATGAATATTCGAATATATTATAAATAACACATACAGCCTACATTGGTACTTAAATGTTAAAAAAAACTAACCTGTATCAGTAGAATCTTCGGTAATGGCTCTCTGAATTCGGCGATCAGTTTTTTCTTGTTGGTCTAAGTATCCGGCATTTAGTACTAATGACGTCCCATCGTTCTGATCAGATTCCACACGATTGTTGGTAATTTCTATGTCATATTCACTAGAAATTATACTTATTTATAACACAGTAGTTATGAACACTGCAATGTAATTATTTTTAAATTATTGAGTCTATATAGTATATATATTAAAAACTAATATAACTAATGATGTTAGTTATAGTTTTAATGTTATCGAATTCTGAGTACTTTTTTTATTTGGTATAAAAGAACTATGATGGATAGTTGGAAATATCTTTGCTTACAAATTTTAAATACCTATTTTCTAAATAAAAATATATATTAATTAGGGTGACGCTTTGTACATTTTAATGGCTATGAGTACTTAGTTATATTATTTTTCATAAAAAACACTAAAGTAAACTTTATATTCACTCATATACATTTTGATATGCATATCTAAATATCATAGTTATTTTACGTGTAATTTAATGGTTAAATTTCATTGTTAAATCAGTCTTATTTCGAAAATCTTTTTAAATAGTTTCGTATAGAAATCTTACCAGCTCTGCTGTTGCTCGAGTATTTCATCATCCGATATATTAACCATTTCTGTTTTCAATTTACTTTTTTCATTTTTGATTCGCATTAACTGCTTAACAGTGTTTTCTAGTTTAAAATTTACAGACGTATCACAACTAGTTGTCTCAGTTCGCGATTGTCGACGCTTACGCTTCCTGATAATTGAACGGATCCGTTGAAAACTTCTTTCCAGTTTAGAGCCATCACCAACTTCCTGTAAGATATATAAACATTACATTAATGTCCTGAATTACAGAACAATGACGATAACTCAGACATTTTGTAATAATTTAAAATGTATTATTTGTTTCAGCTCGTCCGACGTCCATTATAAAACATTATCATCATACATTTTAAAATAAAATAAATTATTGTGAATGTATTTTGGTTATATTATATTATATTTACTAACGATTTCAAGCATAGTTTTTAAATGTTAATGTATTGTATTTATAAATAAAATATATTCTATTATGATACTGAGTTGTAAAATTATAACTCGATTTAAATATTATGTAAGGTTATTATTTATCATATAAATATTCTATTTTCCTGCAATGCATAGGTATTATTCTATTAATCAGGTTAACATTTTTATTCATAAGTATTGTTGTTATAAAATATAATATGAATATTGTATTGTGTATTGTGTATATTATTAACTTTAATGTATACTGCATATAATTTTATTACTTACAGTTAAAAAACCTCAAAAAGCGTTAATCAATATATTATTTTAGAAGTTCTTAAAGTTTAAATTATATTAAAACTAATTTCTATTATCTATTTTAAAATTAATATTTTTTTTTTTAAATACAAACATTAATTGAATAAAATGTTATTAATGTTGGTATCAAAGGTTTGAACATTTTATTTTAAAGTTACTTTAATCATATTTATTGTCATGTTTAATTAATGATGAAAATATTTAATCATAAGTGCTTTTTACGATTAATTTTGTACCGGGGAAGTCACTCCACTGTATAGCAAGTTTGAGTGTGACCTTGTGATTTAATAGGTCACTGTAATAAATGTGTTAAATTTAAATTCTATGATGAATAATTACATACAGAAAACGTTTTTGAACAGAGATGGTATGTCAGCCTCTAACTTCAAAGGATACTTTTATGATTTATTTATAATATTATTAGTTATTTATTTCCTTCTTGGTAATACGGTAGGTTGGAGTTGAAACGTTGAACTAGTTATTAACAAAAACATTGCATTTATTATAATGTTATCATTATTCTAATGCAATATTATATAGGTGATCCATTTGATATAGGAAATTTGTTATTTTAAAAAGTATTAAGGTTTAAAAAAAAAAAAATGTTTACATGGTTTTAAGTCGTTTCGAAAAAACATTTAAAAAAAAAATATTTTTATATTTATTATCCTTATCGTGTTTTAAGCTTTTTGAAGTCATTTTTTGAAAGATAACATGGTTTTAATTTTATATTCTATAGTAGAATATTTTTATTAGTTTTTCATAACATAAAAATTGAATTTAAGATGAGTAGCTTATGAGGTATTTATTAGTGGACTTATATTTTTGCGGGGTAGCCGCGCACCACTGCACTCGGACCATCTATACTTTAAATACTTATAAACTACTAGTCCGAAATTTGATGTTAACGTATTGAAGTACTCGGAAAAAATATTTTGGCTTAGAATATGAAATTAAAATTGTGCTGTTATCAAAAAGTAAAAAAACTGTTAATACTTTTTGAAATAATTAGTGTCTTACGTTAAATAAATCACTAGGTTTATTAGTAAGAACTTATAAATCAATACCGACTTACTGTAAAATATTATGAACAGCTCATAGCCTCGTGGTAAAATAACTTAAAATGAGTTTTAAATATTTTGAAACTTTCAAGGTGTATAGGTACAAATACATTTTTAATAATTCAAGGTTCTACAAAAAATATTTTTTAAATTTCAACGAGGTAGTTTTAAAATAATACGTCGATGCCACCAATTTGTGAATCAGTTGAACCGGGAAAATGTAAGGAAAACATGTACTTTTCGAATAAAAATTAAATTTCGTAATTTCACCATTCATTTTTGAATTGATACAGATGCTATTGATATTATAATGATTAACACGAATATTTTAGGTTTACTGTTTTATTTCATATGTTTAGTTTATAGTTATATATACCATAAAATATAGTTTTATCTGAAATACCAACTTTTAATAGTTCTGGTTATTTAATTTCTGGTTGCTGGATAGTATAACGTAAATAACAATTCTTATTTCGTAGGCTGACTAACATTTGTTCTAAACTAATCTCCTAACTTTTTTTAGTTTTTTCTGATTATTTTGAAAAGTACTGGGAATAAACATTCTCATACAATCCCAATTCCCAATACATTCATCGGTGTGCTCAGAATCTTAAATGTGCTATAACACTTTGTAATAAACCTGAGAACTTCACTTAGAATTGTTTTTCGAATGTGATGATTTATCATTGCTTTCAAATGCATAATAACAATATTATATACCTATTCTACGCTGAGTTAAACTATGTAAGCACAAACATTTATAAAAAAAAATATGAAAAACACAATGAAAATATGGATTTTGTAGTTTTTATTAAACCCCTCAGTGAAACCCCTCTTTTGAATAGGTAGCAAAAAATATTCGGAATGTACGAATTGGTTTAGACAACAAAGTGTAAAAGAAAGGAATTGTGCAATACCCAGAATGATATGGATTTTCCAAATAAAATACACCTGTAGAATGTTTTCAACAATTTTAAATAGATCGGAGTTATTTTTCAAATGTATATTTATAAGATAGTCCGTGTATAATATGTTTTTTTTGTAAAAAATGTCTATACTTATGCAAAATTAAAAAAGTTCTGAACCTAAAGAATTTACCACGATTGTTAGAAAACCAACTTTCCGTAAGAAGTTATTCTTCTAAGACTTTAAACACTTTAGCTAATAAGAAACAATAAAAAATATCAAACATAAATTTCGGTCAGAGGGGTTATGGAATACAGTTAAAGGGGTAATCATTCGTTTATTAATTTTTTTTTCGTTGGAATTAATGTGAATTCATTAAAAACACATACGAGATACGAGCATTTAAAAGGGCACTGAAGTGTGCCATGTAAATTCATTCTTGGTTTTCTAAAATGAAATCATTGTGATTTTTAATATCTTTTATTTATACATTTTAACGTTATTGAAATATTAAATAAAAAAAAGATTCTTTCAAAAAAAAAATGTACACTTTAAAGATTTTACAATTATTTACTAACAACATTATGTGTCCCTTGCAATACAACGTGGTTGTAATCATTGCGCAAATGCTCTATTTTGTTACCAACAAATATTTAACCCAATTGAAACTTTTTTTTAGTTCAGATATTTTTCTGCAGTATTAAATTACCTTTATTATTTATTTAAATAATTTTAAAAATAAAAAACATTCCGACCACACCTTAGAATAAGAGTATAAAATATTATTTTATATTAAAAAGTTTGTTTATTTAATAATATTATATTATAGATACAGTATTTTCCCCTAAGACATAAATATATATTCAAAGATAAATTTAACGGTTGTAAATATTTTTTACAATGTTCTTTGTCAATGATTTTTTCAGATATTTTATATTTTAGATATTACTTTAAATATATAGAGTATTTAAATTTTAACGAATAAATGTGTAATAATAAATAAATATGTATATATATTTATTTATTATTATGCATTTATTCGTTAAAATTTAATATATGATATATATATGTATTAATAAAATATCACATAATCAGTTATTTTTTAATTTATCGATACTAAAAGTAATAAATATTCATGGCATTTAAATAAATAATTTGAAATTATTTAGTATGCATTTACCTATGTATCTTTCAAAATGTCAAAGATACACATTTTTTAACTGTTATATTTATTATTGAAATTGTATGGTTTTATATTATAAAAAATTATTCAATATGTCATAAAACGTACGAGTATACTGTTATAAAAAAAGAAATAACCTTCATCAAAATTAATGCAGTAAATACCAACGTTTATATTATTTTCAATTATTTTGGTAAATAAACGCTTATGTAATATTTATATTTTATATATTATTTATTATAAAAGTGTATTTTGACATGCATGATTTAATTAAAGAAGTCACTAAGTAGCAACACTTTTGGTTACATCCTAATTTAAATAATTATAATAATGTTATAAAAAGTATATACTAACATATCCAACCTGTTTTTATAGATTTCTGAGGTTGAGTATAGTTTTTTCGTTTAACTATTAAGTGATATGTTTATTAATGTAAGTATACATTTAAAGGGTTAAGACCGATTGTTTTTTTTTATAGTAGTTAGTCATGCATGGTGGATTTCCGTTAAATGCCACTCATCTGAGAAATGATAGAAATAATTATTTTTAGAAGGGATGCATGAACTTAAATATTTTGTGCTATACATTTGAGCCTGATGTAGCATAATTATTTTATTCAAACAAACAAACAAATCTAAAAAAAAATATGTTTTATAAAATTAAAAACGTTGTTTGGTTAAAATATTGTTTGTTATTAAAAATTAATTAAAGTATTTTATTAAAAAGCTAGGGGGCTTTTCTCCTGCTCTTTTCGCTCGCCGACCCCCTGGGTGGTCAAGAGCCCCAGTAGGCCTATTCTGACCCCTCCTCCCTGGAGTTTTCATTTCTATGACCAAAGGGTGACCCCCATTGCATCTTGATATTTAATATCTGTAATTTAAACTATTTAAAAATAAAATTCCTTGAAAGATAAAATATATTAAACTTTTTTAAATAATAGAGATTATATTATAATAACAATAATAATAATAATTTATTTAATTTTTGGTTGCCACAGCAATTATTATCTAGAAGATATAAACAAGAATTTTTGTATATAATAGAGAATAATAATGTTTTATTTTTAAATAGCTTATATAATATGTATAAAAAAAAAATTGTTATTGGAATAATGTTTGTTATAAGTGCATTATCAATAAATAATAATTACAACATTTTAAAAACAATACAGTTATTAATAATTGATTAGTTAATTACAATTTAATTATTGAATTATTTTTAATGTACAAGCCGATATTTAATTATATTTAGAAGCTGTGAATTATGTAGTACCTATTTGTTTGAAGATTATATTAGAGCATTACAAAATAGCATTAAGAAAATTGAAATAATTTATACAGAAATTGTTTGTATTCAACTTTTTGATTAGGTATATGATACACCTAAAAAGGTGCAAAACATCTTATTATTTTGAATTTGTGTAATATGTGTGCGCTGAAAAATAATTCATACTCAAATCATTAGTCAGTAAAAGACATTTTGTGCGAATAAAATAAAGATATTGTAAAATTGTACCCCATATTAGGTGTGCTCGAGTGTCAAAGCGTGTCGAGTTTTAAAAACAAACGTGAGATTGATATATTTTTTATTAAACAAATTAAAATAGTTTTTATTTTTAAACTTATTTTTGCTGTTTTCATTGCGAGAACATTTAGTTCATTTTTTGGTGTAAGTTAAAAGGCAATTGTGTACCTACACAGCAAAACGTGTAGAAAAGCCAAAGAAAAACATGTATATTGTTTGTCTGTATACCTCATAATCTACGAGAGATACAATTGTATCTTTTGGGATATTTGACAAAGAAATTGAGGACCTTCTTGACGAATTTTGAGCTCTACACTTTTGGCAAACGTTACTGATTACTCTAACATGATGGGCCCATCTTTCTCTGTAATGAGCCATTTCTTCGTCTACTTCTTGCTGACCTTGCTAAATTATATCCAACGACATAGGTTGTTTTATTGTTTTATGAATATAATTCGATATCTTACCTCTTTTTTTGATTTTAACTCTTCAGAATTGAAACTGTTGAGTAACAACGCCAAAAACAAGTTAAGAACCATGAAGTTACCCATCACCAGTGCGGGCAAAAATATTGCAAAGCATATACCAAAACCCTAAGGAAAGTCAATAAAAGTAATTTTAGCCTTATACTTTTTATATTATATCTTTAAGTAAATAATCCACCAAGAAGCTCAAGTATAATACTTTATAACTAAAAAACTGCCTTGATGTCAGTTGTAGATTATTTTATATGTTCACATTATTATAAATAAAAAAATATAAACTTAAAAATAATATTAAAATGTAGTAAATAGTGAAATTATTTCTCTGGGGAATTTTAATCAAGATTAATAACATACCTCTTTCTCTTCAGCTTTCATACAATCCCACAATGGTTCAATCCATTCTCCACAAAGAATTCGAAAAATCATCATGAACGAGTGAAAAAAATCTGAAAAATTCCATCTACAAAAAGCCACCAAATAAAGCGATTATTAATGATTATTTTAATATGCAATTTTTAATTATGAAGTATAATACATTAGTACTAATAGAATAATAAAATAATCTTATCCCAAGTAATTCTGACATTTTAAAACATATTTTAAGACATAATTAGCTTCTTTAATTAGCTTAATATTAAGATATTTATTTTAAAGCTATATCATTTATGATCGTAGTATTAATAATGAATTGGAAATCAATAGAATATTCTTAAATATTTATCATGTTATATAACACACTGTTTTACAAATGATTCTTTTATAATAGATATTTTCATTACTAAGACAATTATCGTGCACTCCATGATTTAAAGTATCACTGACAATATTGACAAGTGACTTTAGCCATAAAATTTCGTTCAATACTCTAACATATTTTAATCCTATAGCATTGTAATAAGGAACCACTCAAAATATGATGGTTGTCACGAATCACAATAGTTCAAAATATTCAGCAGAATTAATAATGTTTTTAATTTTTTAAGATTTGAAAATTTGATTTTGCCATTTTAATCAGTAATTAATTTTATAGTTGTAAACAACAATTGTTACTACACAATTCGTTATCATATAATACCATAATGTAAAAATTTAACTTGGAAATACATGATATCAAATTACTATTTATACTTTTTGTTTATCAAGTATATAATATATTATATGCTATACATATTATATATAATCAAGTTACGTAGTTCATTAATTTATACATAATAATTGTTAATTAGTTTTTTTGACCTAATAATAAAGTGACATTTAATTAGATAAAAGTATGAAAGAAATTAAGAATGTATTTATTACCTCGGTACAGGATCTGGATCAAATTTTTCTGGCATATATTCTTTTGAGAATAGCTGCATGCCGATGACGGCAAATATATATATAATGATAATGAGGACAAATGTAAGGTTACCGAGAGCTCCGATGGTCGATATGATGATGCTCAACAGTACTTTCATGGTAGTCCAAGATTGAGCCAGTTTTAAAACTCGAAGCTAATTGAAAAAAAAAGATTAACGGCTGTGTAATTAATCAAAACGCTCTGTAATAATGTGTGTAAAGCGGTAAATCAGTCAAGTCACCAACGTTTCAGCGGCCGTGCTTCATTTCACCCAATTACGACAAAAGTTAATGTCCCATGCCGTTAGAAATTTTTCAAACCGATAACAATATTACTTCCCCCTGGTCTCAGTGTCCGAATTTATAAAAACATGATTCTATAGTATTGTATTGTATTATACTAGGGCGTAGCGTAGGGGAGGGCACTCGGGGAAAAGGAGCAACCTACTGGAAATCTTATTTTCTCGAAAACGATTATGTACACACGCTGCACATGCATTTGTACATATAATATAATAGGAACACATATTTTTAAACTTTGATTTACAATCATATTATGTTATATTAATATAATTTAAGTGGATACAGTGATCCGTTTTTAGGCTTCCCGTTCTCAACCAGACACGTGCTCACAAATCGTATACAGTCGAATAAATTAAATAGCACCATGGTGACAAAACAATAAACGTCCTAAACGGCAACAGGGGTATCTTTGGTTATATTATATAAGTTATAACTACCTACTGCAGTTTTGGAGAACACGAAACGATACCTACCATAACCGGAAAATGTTTAATGGTTTTTAACCTGCCGGTTTTCGTTTTAGGTCTGACATATTTTAACCCGGCACTTTGCATAATATAACGGTAGGTGGCTTATGTCTTATATAGCTATTCGGAAAACATGGATGCAGTTTATTACACCCTTACCTCGCTCCCATCGCCGCTATTCGTTTCTCCTAAAAACCCGAACAGTACCTACTGCGGACGCAATTTACAGTCTGCCAGGCGCATTCTTGAAACATAACTCATAAGATCATCACTTATAAGGAATACTACGGTTGAATGATATGTACGAGACGGCCAAGTCAATTACCATTTTCAATAGACAAAAGGCCAGTATTCCGAGCATATGAAATGTCTTATATATTATATTATATATTGTTTTGGAAATGTTGTACGATTCAAGGTTAGGTTGAGCTATTATTTTTCTCTATATGCAGAGACTTTGTAATTTGAAAGTTATAACATAAATGTCATAAATGTACTTCACCGATGACAATTTGCTTTTAGGATGTTTTTTATACAATATCATTTAATTTTCTTTTATTATTATCCTAACTAATTCATAAAAAATCATAAGCAAAAACTTTTTCTCTGTATTTTCTCTAGATGGTCAATATTTTATTTTAATTATAATTTTAGTTTACCACTATACCACGTAACTGCAAAATAAACATAATTAAAGATTGTTTAAAGGAGACACAAAACTAATTAATTTGATTCAGAAAAATAATTGTGCAATTTTCTTTCCTTAAATTAATAAAAGAAGCTTAATGGAGCTTGAAAATTCTGTAATTTATATTAATTATATAATTCGATTTATTTTATAGTACTTGCGAGGTATTACAAAAACATTATAAAGATACGAATTAATATTATATTGTGATACGTTTTGTTTAAATACAAATATTTTAAATACTTGTAATGTTAATCTATTGTATATTTTATGTAAATTATATTGAATTACTTAGAGTTTTCACTATGACAAAACAATATGATGTATACTAAACATAATGTAGTATATGATTGTCAACTGCTTTATGTTACCGCTCAATACATATATATTATTATATATACTAAAATAAATTTAAGAGTTAACATTATTTACAATTTCAAAGAAAATTGAATGTTTAAATATTATTTTAGTTTCTTTATTGTATTATTGTGGTATGAACTATAACATAGAACAATATTGTTAACATAAACAAAATATATATAAATTACACATTGAATATTTGTTTTTAAGCAAATCGTATCATGTATTTATGTATCTCAATCTCACAATTTTTTATCTTATTTTTTTTTGTAAGTTTTATAAAATAGATTAAATTATATTTCATAAAACAAACAATTTTATTATCTTTTTATTAATCCGAGGAAATTAAAATCGGATAATTTATTTCTTGGAATTAAATTAATTAGTTTTTGCCTCTCCTGAAAAATCTCTAATTTTGCAGTTACGTATGGTATTGCAGCCACAATCCAGTGACTGTCGAGATGTATTTTACTGGTAAGTTTTAACGACTAAAATCAAGAGGTTGAAATGTTAATATTGATATATAAATATGTTAATACATTCATCTAATTTATTTTTAAAAAGACAATAGAATTAAAAACGTTTGTACGTAATTTAAAAAAATTAAAAACAAACGGTTAAGCTACTCTGACATATTTATAACGGTATTGCTATGATATATACGTGTGTTTGTGAAACCACTCTGTGTTTCTACGGATTTACGAGTCTGTAGATTAATAAAAAAAAAAAAACAAATAATAATCCCATAGCAAATAAGCGAAACTTTTTTCATCGTTTGTGATACAAGACACTTCTGTTGAACTTTCATTTAACGTCAGTTTGAAAAAATTCTACGCTAAAATTAAATATTTAAAAATGAGAAAATAAGCTTTATAAATATAACAATAAATATTTTATATCGATTGCATTTATTCAACAGTCATTTAATAATAAGCAAACATAACCATCAAGTTCATGCAGTTAGTATATTGAATTGTTTATTTTTGCAAAATTTCACATAAATTAATAGTTATTGTGAAAGTATAATTATTATCTTATTAATTTGAATAAAAATGTTCTTACCAGTCTCAAACAGCGAAGAACTGATAAACCATCGATCATTTCAAATGATAAATCTAACAAGCTAGCTGTCACGATGATCATGTCAAATATGTTCCAACCACAATTGAAAAATTCATTACTTAAAGCAATTAACTTGAATAGACATTCTACAGTAAAAATAGTTGTGAAGACCTGAAAAGATTAAATTGGTTACCTATTGAATTAACATGATAAAAGATTATAAGAAATCGAATATTGAAACTGTTGTTTTTATTCGATCTCAACCCTAATTCCAATTAGCTTAATCTGGATTTTATGTTTGTTGAATAAATCCATTGAGCAAATGTGGGGAAATTATTTAAAAATTTAAAATACATAAAATAAAATATAATTTAGAAAAGTTTGAGAAACTTGGAGGACACTGAAGGTGGTAACTAAAACTGTTACAGAGTTTTTGATGATAATGATGATGTGATGATAAAATAAAATAATAGTACCTTTTAACAAATATTATATTCATGTTACTGATTTTTCAATATTATTTTGTTTACTCATTTATATTAAATAGTATGATTTATACCGTTGTTATTTTTTGTATGCTAATCAAACATCAATTTTATCAAAATCAATCATTTGAAAATGATTATGGCGCTCTACTAATCTGCTGTTAGTATAGATTAAAAAAATAATAAATGGCTTTATAAATAGGATAGGTAAATATATAAAAATAACTGTTAACTCACTAACTTTTTTATTTTTAAATATAAAACCAATATTAAACTCAATTTCAATTCACAAATATTATTAGATTGATTAAACCTACAAATCGCCAAATGTGAACACTTTATGTGCTTAAGTTGTAGCTAGAAGGTATTAAAATATTTTACTAATTAAACATTATTAGAAACTACAATATGTTTATTATAGATAATATTTTTCATTTTAATTATGCGGTCACGAAAGACATACTTTTAAAGTAAAATATAAATGAATTACCTTGTTTCCAACATCCAAAATGTTACGTACATTTTGTGACATCCCGTGATGTTCAATAGCCAACACTATTGTATTGCATATGATACATGCCATAATAAACAACTCGAATAATGGATCTCTAACCACTTTATGCAGGCAGTTTTGGACTCTCAACCATGTCTGGTAGTCAACGCAATTTCTGTTGCAATTCGAACAATTTCGATCAACTAAACCATCTAATAATAAAAATGATACATTTATAAATTATCACTGTGATTAGATAACAGAGCTACAAATATTCAAACATTTATATGCATTACAATATTTCATTTCGTCTAGCGAAATTTATGTACATTTGAAACCACTGTCCTATTGTAAATTAATTGTATTTATCTAACAAATAATATAAATAGTTGGGTTGTGTACCTATTATAATTTAAATGTAATTGTTGTTTGGAACACACGTCTTTAAAAGAAAATGGTAAAATAAAAGTATTTTAATTTAGATTATAAAACTAAAAATATTGGTCTCCATTTAAAAATATAAATTTGATAGTTAATTAACCAAAAAAAAGTAAAAAAAAAGAGATCAAATGTAAGAATTCTTTATGCCTTTAACTTTTCAAAATAATAATAGTGTTCAATATTAATGTAATTGTTATGTATATTATATTATATGTTATCCTTTTTTTGTTTAAATCAATTACAATTAAATTTTAAAGTTTATTTAATACATATGAATATGCATAAAAATAGAAAAATAATAATATTATAAGTATACTTATATGAATTAGATATTTAAATAAGCTAACAATATCAAACAATGAATTCATAAAAAATGTTGAGTTGCAGTAACATTAAATTATCCACTGATGGATTAAGACTCATTTGTATATATTTTTAAGTCACTGAATAAAATAATAACAATTCAATTCAATTAATATAATAGAGTTGTGACTTTATAGTAAAATTATTGTAAATATTGTACACAGTTTTTAAATAGTTTCACTTGGTTAATATTAAAAATACATTTTTATGACAATTTAGTAAATGTACAGCTATGTAAATATTATACAATTTATTTTATATTTATATTATGTAGATGACTCACGAATCGCGAAACAGTGAATGGTTTTGGATTAAAATACAAAAAAAACATAATTTTTCAATATTTACCTATAATTTGTACCTACCAATAGAATCTGACTTTTTAAATTTGATATTCTTTTTTGTTGAAGCTATACTTTAAAGTTTAAATTAAACTATTGAAATTAAATTTAAGTAACTTAATGTTAACACAATTACCACAAATTAATAGTTCCTCGATGTAATACAACCTAAATTATAAGGAATAACAATATTTTTATCAAATAGTGACAAAGTTTGAGAATAGCTCATTTTAGTATATTATATTATTCATAATGTTTAAATATTCTATTAATTTTTTGATGAAAAATAAAAATATTTAAATTATTAATGATTATTCTATTCATAAAATCTAAATATTTTAAAAGATATCTATGATTCTAAAAATTTAATGAAGTAAGAAGTTTTATAATATTGAATGTATTAGAAGAAAGATATTATTTTATTTGTTCAAATTAAATTCAACAATTATATTCTTGTAAACGGTACTATTTAAAACTACAAGTTAAATAAACATTTATATTACATGACACGGAGATACAAGTTGATGATAGTAGATAATAGTTAATAGTCACGGTTATTTATACTAAACCTTAAAGACTATAGGTCATGTTTAACCAATTATAATAATTATATTTTAGAAGACAAGTCTTTAAAAACCAACAGGGATCCTAAAATAGTGATATTTATATGTAGGTCTGATGTAAATAAGTGTATTATCAAGTGTGTTATTATTAATTTTAATTTGTAATGATTGTGGCAAAAATAAAATCATCCATGTAATTTGGAATTATTACTTATGTGAAGTTTATCATAAATGGTCAAGTAATACAATACACTAATATTATTATTATCGTGAGTGTATCGTTGATAGTTTAGCAAACAGATCTTACACAGACTATTATTTTCCAAGCTATTACAGTTTTAGAGGCGGCACAGGGAGTTAATACTGTTATTAATGTACACATACCAATAACCACCACCTGAGACACGTACTCGGCCTCGCCGTTGCGGCCAAATGGTTTTGTTTTCAGCCCATTGCATTTGATCACTTTAATGCTTTTTGATACAGCTAAACCATTATCGTTGGTGGGATTCTGAAATTAATATTTTACATTCTGGTATAAACGTAAAGAAAACTTTAAGTTTATAATTTAGAGCACCTCAATCAATTTAAATACATAAGACGAATGTAAGACAAAAAATAATTCGTTCAAAAAGTACGAATACCATGTATATTTTTGAACAATGGATATGGGTTACGTTGTCGTAACGAAATATATTATTTTTGAATTTAATTTTCACTAAGAGTAGTTTATTTTATAATATGTTACTTTGTTGATGGATACAAAATACTTAAAAAATAATGTGTTATATTTAATAAGGAGACATTATAGTGCATCGGATAAACTATAATATTTTGAAGGGTTGATATTAAATTCAAAAAAGTTATTTATGTGTCCTTCAAAATTATACTGAGTGGAGTAATATTAACGAATTTAATTATAATTTTCTTTGATAATGATTTAAAGTGTTATAAATTCAACAGTTTGAAAGTATTTTTTAAATTTCTCCCAATATAGGTTACCTGAGGTAACTGATGGTATCCGCATTGCTGTGGTTGTGGTGAAGTGTGATGGGATTGTGATTGCGACGTCGCTTCCCCATCATCATGATCATCTACTACACCTGAGTCGTCCAGTGATGAATCCCTGTTATTTCCTTCACTGGTGTTTGCACTGCCTTGTCTACTACCCAGTAACCATCGTTCTCGTCCTTTTTATAATAACATCAACAACAGTTTCAAGAATCAATAAGACGAACATGTTCTATATTCAAAATTTTAATATTGAATATATGTATATATGCATAAGTGGTACTGGTAATAACAAAGGAAAATAATATTTATGATATATATTTATAAATTAAATAATATTCAACATTTCAAAAAATTTAAAAATAAATTAAAATTTGCATATCCATAAAATATTATTGAACATTTATCAAATTGATGACTTGATAAAATAATTTTTAGCTGGGTATTAAATTCTGGGTTTCATGAAAATAGTATGTTTTTATTTATCAATTTAAAATATAATATATTTATTCATACTTATTAGCATATTATGTTCTTTACTTAACTCAAATAATCATTATTTAACAGACACCACAATATATTATATTCAAGAATTCTTACTTTTTTTTTATCTCGAAGGTAAATTAAATTAAACTTTATATCAGTGAGTTATATGAAAAGTATTCCCTTTGATAGTGGTATATGAAGTGTTCAACAACGTTTAATTTTCGTTATCTCTAAGTTTAATGGGAAGAAAGAAAATATAATTCTGAATTTTATTTTTAATTTATTTAACTAAAATAGCTTTCACGAGTCCAAAGTTTAAATTAAAACAGAAAATTCAATTTTTTCCTACTAAAATGTAAGAGCAGTATTTTAACATTTATTTGAAACTAAAGGACAACAATAATATTATTAGATTTACAACATTTTGTAATAGAATATGTATATTTCAGTGATTTAAGAATGTTTCTTATATAATTAGATGTTAATTATTTTTCGTCTTATAGTATCTTTAACCTTGCTGTTATTATTACTATTAATATTAAATTGAACATTTTATCAATTTTTATTCTAACTTTATACAGTCTACCAAAATTAGATAGGAAAATACATTTCTATTAAGCTTAAACATTGAAGTAAAAAGTACGAATAGGATAGAGTGATCACAGATTAGTTATTGGGGATTCGTTTTATCCCTCTCATTTTAATGTAAAATAATGTGAATAACACAATGATTTCAAATTAATAGTGCTTGAAAAACTAAAATATAATTAAGATTTTTAAGACATTTTAAGGATAGTGTGAATACGGTACTTATATAACATTTTGAAGTCTTAAAAACAGGTAGATACTATTTTTACAATGATGTAGTAGTATATCAAAAAGTTTCAAGTTATGAACTAGAAATTGAACACAGATTTAAAGGGGTCATTATTCTCTGTAGTGTACGAGAAAAAAGGTGAAGAAATATAACTGCCAAGCATCAGTTTTTAACATCAGTCTTGACCATTTTTAGGTGAACCGATTTTTGCTCGAAAAAGTGTTTCAATTGCAATGATTTATTATTGCTTTCAAATATAATGCCCTAAGTATTCCACTCCAGTGTCCTAACCAACCCTGGAATCAGCACTTTTTTTCAATTGTATCATTCAAAGTATAAAGCGAATCACAATAGGTATAATACAACTAATACAAGTTATAAATAAATATGTGAATCGAAACTACATGGAAGATGATTTGGTTTTACATGAGTAAATAAAAAAATTCAATTACTCAATGAAATATTGTAAATTATATTTATGTGCAAAGTTTTTTAAAGACTATGCGTTTGATCTTATTTCTTGTTGAAATTTAATTTGTAAGAATTCTATTAATTATGATTTATGCTAAACAAACTTACTAATTATATATTAAATTAATTTTAATGAGTAATAGAAATATTTTTTTTAATACTCACGCAGACATATTTTCTTTCCATATAAATGAATAATTTTAATATTAAAGTCAGATTTTTACTAAATAAAAAAAATAGTTTAAATATATATTATAAACTAATTTAATGTTTCAGCTTTACAAAAAAAAGATCTTTATATATTGTCCTATTTAATATCTTCTCAGAAATCTAAACTATTTTTAAATTACATTTTTTTTAAATTTATTTTCAGATTTGTATCCTTTCATAGATTCAAAATTTTTGATTTATGATATAATTGTACCTCAGATTCTAAATGATACTAATTGTCTGTCTATACTGCTTAAGCATATATTTTTTTACTATTTGATTAATCAAAATCGTATCAATGAAATGACAATATAGATATTTGGATTTGTAATGTTATCTTCTGACGTATAAAAAAAAATTAATTTGAAATAAAAACCATCCTTCTTTTTTTAATTTATTTAATATTTTTTATTAATAGAAAGTCTAGTTTTACATCAGTCTTTTGAGAAATATAATGGGAAGTGGTTGTGAGTGTTTAGACTAACTACCATTTCATTGGAATAGCAAATCACAAAAATATATTATTTATTTTTTATTCCAAATGTCAAAAAACATTGATAAATACTTAATAGATAACTATTTCAGAACTTAATTTTTAATTTTCAAATTCTTTAATTATATTATGTTCAAATTTCTATTGGTCTGGATTCTAAGCTTATAACTTATAAAAAGACCAATTTGTAAACTTAAGACTCCGATATATATTAAGGATAATTGAATATTATAGTTTAATTTTGAATGATGTATAAATCAGAATATATTCATTGAGTTTATTGTTTTTGTAAGAAATATGAGGAAATCAAAATGATGTATTTTTAAACTAAGATCCAAATTTTAAAAAACTGCAGTGACATTAATATTCATAGAAAATGACTGAGCAGAGACGATGTGTCAGCCTTTAATTCTAAGCATGTAATAATGTATTTATATTACTACATAATATTATTTTCTATTAATGATACAATATGATGAACTAATTTTTGCCAAATACCAAAATGCATAACATATAGTATATCATTATAGTATTAAATCATATAAAATAGTATTGTTATTAACTTTAAGTAAATACCATAAATTAAAGTTGCTTATTTTGTTAATTCTGTATTAATATCGACATGGATGGTGGTGGATAGGTTCATGGATAATCAGGTTAAAATTAGTCTAAATATTTTTCACATTTCATTGTTAATAGAAAATAATAATATATATAATGGTGAAAAGTTCCAAGTTTCTATGATTAATAATTTTTGAATTACAACAATTATTTTTAGTTAATCTTTTTTCATCAAAATACCTATAAAAATTATGTATTATGTATCCATTTTTTTCAATTGCTATAATATGGAAAACATATTATAATTATGTAGGTACTAAATGTTCAAGCTTTTTTACACACCGGCAATTTTACTTCTTGATACTTAGAGAAAGCCTTTTTAAAAGGTTGATCAGGGTTGGAATATATGGCCCAAATTATGGAGGACATCAATACACAAATAACACTGGATAATGAAAGTAGGCTCTAGGTAAGTAAATTTAGGACATTTAGGGGAAAGTGTATTTTGCTACAAAAAAACAATGAAACGATAGGAAACAAAATAGAAAAACAAGTACATCTATTAAGAACAATATTTGCAGTTCATGTGTCACTTACCTTGAGGAGCTACCAGAGCGCACGGCCGCAGACTGTCGGCAGCCACGTTGGGTTTGGCTACCGCAGAAGTGGCAGGCGGTGGTTCTGGTTGAGGTGGTGGGGTGACCGGTTGTGCTGGAGGGTCGGGAGATCTCGAAAGTTTTCGTTGGGGCGTTGACGAACGGCTACCCGAGTCGTCACCGTCATCACCATCGTCACCGTCTTCACCGTGGTCCAATGCCACTGCCACCGCCGACGCTTCAGTTTCCGACGCCAACACCGTCGCAGACGACGCCACTATTTCCACATCTGGGTCCACCTCCATTCCTCCGTCCAAGGTGTCTCGATCGTCCGTGGCGTTTCGCTGTTGCAGTTCCAGTTGCAGTTCCGGTTGTGACCGTTGTTGAGACGGCGTTCGACGTCTTCGCGACTTCTTCCGTTTGCGTGTCACCGAAGAAAGTAGCATGCCTTTCCGGCCATCCACTTTCTTCTTGTCCCGGTTCTGTCTGTCCTGCAGCTGTTTGACCGGGATGCGGCTAGGGTCGAAACTGAACGTCGATTCGTCCCGGTAGTCCGTCAAGTCTTTTCGCCTCTCCTGTAACACATCAAAATCGTACGTTTTAATTATATTGTTTTTATTTTCTAGGCCACATCTCGGGCTTATCGATATGTCAAGAAAACAAAAATCGCGGTTGACATTCGTAAAATTCACAATTGTTTAAAAATCAAATACTTAAATCATGGTGTAGTAGAAAACCACCGTAAAGAGTATATACATTATATTATACCGTAAAATGCTTGGCATATATACGCAATTCGAGTGTTACAAGTGTTTTCGGTTTTGCGTTTGAGGATATTGATCGACTGTAAAATTTAAAACGCCGTACATCCTATATGGTTATATATATATGTGTGCATATTTTATTTTTTTAAATTACTTTTTCAATATTTCAGTTTCGAAACTAAATATTAAACAATACCACTCTAAGCGTGTCAAGCGGTCGGATGTGTTATTATAATGTTAAGCTATTATTATTGATTTATTACATAAATGGTCATAACTCATGAATATTTTTTTGAAATGAATCACTCAAAGGCAAAAAATTATGTTGAATTTTTAATTGATATCGATCCCAATGGAAGCGAAAGCGATATTTTTTATCACCTATCTTGTACAAAGATTAAAGTAACACTACAAAAGTTGACAATTACTAAAGTGTCAACATATTTCAAACATAACCACACCCGAACCTACTGTGCATAATATTATCTTCTCATGTGGGGAAAATCACACATCTAACTCTTGCACTCCTTGCTAACTGCAACTTTTGTTGGCACAATTTACAAACAATCTATCCATAAACACAACACAATTTAAAACCAAAAACATCAATAATCACCACTAATCCTGAACAACCAGTCGCTACATATACGACAAAACCAAGTTCGTAGGTATATGAATGTAACTGAAATTGTTTTAACCAACGCCTATGTCTATAATTAACAATGAAATCTCTCTCACTTCTTTAATTCTTCGATGAATTTAAATTAATTTTAAACTCCATATATCCCACCTCACTACTGTAACCAAAAATGTCAAACTTCACATATATGTCTTATGTTCTATGTGCCTATAAATCTATATATTATCTAGAGTAAATCAAAACACAGTAAATAAAAAAATAAAAATCTCTGCGAAAATTATTTGCTATAGGAATAATAATAATAATAATAATATATAATTAAACTGTAACATGTATATCTTAAACGCCAATAACCCTGGCAGTTGAGGCGTATTTCTAAAAAAAAAAAAAAAATAATAATAATAATTATAATCGGTATAAAGTTATCTTAAAACAGAATAACATCCATATTGCATATGAAATCGTGTCACGATTTCTGTAACTACGAACTACATATTATAGTTTTAGTGTAATACAGGCACGATGCGAGTGTACTTAAAATTTGAAACTTTATACAAATATCCAATTCTCAGTTACAGTTGTATAACCGACTATTAATGGATTGTATTGAGTTAATTTAATAACATAATAGTTATGCAATTAGTGCTGTAGGTATACCCATTAGTCAAATAAAAAAATATGATATTATACCTTTTACTGGATAGAGGTGGTATATTATTGATTCAGTAGTTATACAATCCATATATTTGTTATTTTTCAAACTTAATACTACCTATCAAAATAGGTTCTTTTATATATTGAGGTCTATACTTTATAACGACTGGTCAATATTCTAACAAGTATTCCATAAATTAAAGAACAATATATTTTACGATTTTTTTGATTCTTTTTACTGTACTGTACTCAAAATATTTGAAAAAGAACTTAAGATTTGACACTAACTGTACATATTTGTGTTACTGTGTAGGATACTATTTTTCATCTTAAGTTTAACATTCAATAAAATTAATTATTCATCGTGGTCACAATTCGTGTGTGTGTGTGTGTGTGTGTGTGTGTGTGTGTGTATGTATATGCTTTACATCAAGTTTATACTAGAGTGATTAATGTACAGACTAAACACTAAACTCTGTAACTTGACAGGTTGGCATCACCAACGTTAACATAGTTTAACTGGACACAATAATATGTTGAACAAGTGTTTGCTGAAAACTAATTTGGAATGACATAGTTTATAACAATACAGTCACTGAACTGAACTCATAACTGCAAAAGATTTGTGGGAAATTATTTAAGTTACTCAATTTTATGCATTGTAGTTACATTTTTTTTAAAATTTTAAATTGCTAATGTCTGCACAAGATAGAATACACAAACTTTATAATTAAATAAAACAAATATTATAAATCTAATAATCATTGACTAAATCTAAGAACAATATTACATGGTTACAAATTATCATATAATGCTTTAATAAAAAGTTTTAATTCAAAATGTAAAAAGTGTTCGATTGTTAAAATATAAATTAAATATAATGGACAAACTGTGTTTAAATGAATTTTAACTTACATTAAAAAATGTATAGAAGTACTTACCATAAAAAATGTTACTGACATAAATTAAAATATTTTAGTATAATACAAACACCTTAAACCGATTTTAAATTACACGAAATTGGTGCACACTAATTGCCTCCTAAATATAGGTAGGTGACCTACATTTACTCAAATTCGCGTATTGTATTTAGATGTACTCGAAATGCCTCCCATATCATATCAATATATCGATATATTATTTTATCGTACTTATATCTTAACTACATATTGATTATATTAGAATGATTTTCATATAACATCATCGATCACTGATTATTGTAATCATTTATGCACTTGATAAGTTTTTAATTCGTTTTTCGTTGTGAAAAGAAACAAAAGAAAAAATAATATTAATTTTGGACGGATTTTTGTTTGGTTTTCAAAAAAAATCTAGCAAATAATATAAAACGACGGACGTGTACGAAAAAAATATGTTCATCTTATTTAAAAACTAATCAAATTAATTTTATCCAGTTCAAAAATGTAAAACTAATTCATAGTTGTTTGAATTATTCAGATCAAAAGATCAACAGACAGATACTTATCAAAAATCTTAAACTAAAGCTTTAGAACAGATTTCGGAACTACCTGTACACTTATTTCAGATCGAAATAAAAATTTTTCGGACGTAATTTGAGCTAAAATTAATATGCGCCACTCAATTGGAATTCAATATAATATCTAAAATTGTCACAAAAAGTGAATTAAGTATATACTGTTTAAGCCTTCTATTGAAGTAAAACTGTTTTTAAATGAGAAATGAGAAAGACCCAATAAATTGTTCGGTGATATTTTTTTGTCATGATACTTTCCAGTCTGAAAGTACGCCAATTCTAATAATAATAGAAAATTGAACATTTGATTACTGCGTTCAATATTTAAATCGATTAATTACAATGTATAATCTGCATAACAATAATTATCATGTAACTACCCTTCGATTTTTTTCCGATAAAAGTCAAGCATCTTATTTATAAATAACCTTTCATGTTACTAACCCCTTATTTTAGAAGTTCAGGAACATTATTCTAACTACAATTTGTTTTATTGGTCATGAAAAGTTAATACTTATGCGGTAAGTAAAGTTATGGTACAAATTAAAGTTTTGGTAATGTAAATTACAACATATCGGATTAGCTATACCAAGTATCGAGAAAATAACAAAATTAGAAACTATAATATTTTTGGTCCACCATTTTTACATCCAGAACAATTAATAATTCAATTAAATACATAAACTTTATGTTTACTTAAATAAAAATTTGTTTTTAGGCAGATCGTATAGGTGACAAATTTGTTGTAGATTTTAAAGAACTTAAGTACCAAATGATGAAAAAACAAAATAATAACATTTTCTGATTCTTTAGTAGAAAATAATGTCGATGACAGTTCAATTTTCGCACTACACTCGTGGGTTGCAAGTACACCCAGTACATATAAGCCCAATAAAGCTTACTAATTATTCCACAGCAAATTCAATTTTAATTTTTCATTAACTCACACTTATACATTTTTAAATGTATTAAAATCAATGCAGGTTGATACGAATATCCGATAATGTTAATACAATCCAACCTGTTAAAAAAAGAAACAAAAAAAAGGATATCTTCAAAGATTTACTATTTTCATGAATGTTATTGTAATATAAAAATTGAACACTAACGAAATATTAGTAAATACATTTAAACCAGTAAACAATTAGGATTCAATTTATAGTATTACTAATATTTGTTAAATATTTATTATAACTTATTAATTTTAATTTCTTACAATAAAGTTTTAATATTTTTACTATAGTATCAGACTGATTTTTATATTTTTGGTATTAATAAGTAATTAATTATTTCAAAATATTAGTATATTATTATATTGATAATTATTTAAAATTGTTTGATTTAAATTGAAATTAATCTATTTTAAAATTACCATTTACGAGCAGTAGACGTGTGTGCATTAAACAGACGCAATCGCCTAGATTTTAATCGAGTTAAATTATAATGGAATATTTAGTATAACCTTAGTTTCAAATTTTAATTTATAATAGTATAGTTTATTTAACTAAATATAGGTAACCAGCTTTCCTTGGTTATGAAACCAATGTTTAAACTTTAAAGTGAATCAATATTCAAATACTAAATGCTCAACTACTTAAGATGGGAGGCAATTATGTAAAAAAATTAATGAATATCTGCAAAGTTTGTATAATGTCGAGTATTAAACACTGATTACAAATAACTTCTTGGGTCATATTCTATAGTTGTTTCACGTGTAATGACTTAACGTTTTCAACGAGCTCAATGTTTAAATTTTTAGTAGAAATCAATGTCCAATTCTTTAAAAAGCTGAAGTTTAGTTGAGTTGAGTTCCGATGTGTGCTAGCAGTATATTACGTATAAACTTGTGATTTTTCATACTGTTATATGCAATAGTTATGTAAGTAATAACTCAAAGTTAAATGGAAACTTAAACCACTAAAAAAGTTCAAATATAGTTTCGAAGATATATCCCAGTTGTGGATTTAAAAAGCAAAAGCCACAGCGGGCACGTCGAGTTTTTAAGAAGATATTTTTTGTCAGTTCGTATATTATATTTCATGCCACGGCGCTCCGTGTAGGCATTTCTGCTACATCGAGGCTTAGTTTTGTATACGTTTTGCCTATACACTGCTTGACAACGAGGATTAAAAACGGTAGTGCTGCGCGAGCGAAAAAAAGAAGAAGAAAATAAGAATAGAAAAACGTGTGCATTTTTTATACGACGTCGTATTTCTATTTTCCTCGGGCATTGCCTGAAGCTGCAGCAGTGTGTTTATTTTTGATATACATATTTCAAACTCGTACACTGTTTGTAAAATCACAACCACGATGGCAAGATGTGCACTGCTACTCGGAATACCATCGTCGGAATAGTTTACATTTTATTTTTATGATATTTTATATTTCAATAAAGATTTATATGTATAAAAAAAAAAAAAATGATAAAAATTCCATCATACCTCTTGCGTGATTTCCGCTTCTTCTTCGTAGCTTAGGGCGACGACGGCCAACATCAGATTGATCAGGTAGAACGAACCGAAGAACACCACCACTGTGAAAAATATGACGCTCATCGGGCCACACGTCGCTAACACCTGAAACAACCGGTATACACATACTTGAATCGATGGAGTGTCGATGCGATGGTGAAACAAATCCCTTTTCAGAAAAGTTTTTATGGACGTGGTATTATATATAAAATCATCGCGTGACCTAAATAATGCGTAACGGAAGTCGGTACAGTGTTGTGCGTTAGCCTCGGGAAACAGCAAACGACTTCACTACTGCTTGTATTTTGATGTATTAAAAACAGTCGGTAATGTTAATATTCCGGTTTAAATACATTTTAAATGCATGGTTGTTTATAATTTTTTACTTTGTTTAAACGTTTTACAGATATTCAGCATTATTTTGTGGTGATTAGTGTTGTTCGTATTGTAGGGAATAATCAGAAATAATTTTCGTTTGAATTTAACACTTATCATTAAATATTCTTGTTTCAATTCTCATTTTCAAAACAGTTGGATAATAATTAACAGTATAATACCCGACATAATTAAATGGTGATCATCAGAACTAATGTGTAATTAAATAATTTACTATAATATGCGATCCAAAAATGTAAATATTAAATGATTTAAATGTGTTGGTTTTGATATTTTTCAGTGAAAAAATTCACAATTTAGTACCAGCTTATTTGAATTTTCATATAATTAGATAACTCATTACCTAATTAAATTGAAATACTATATAATTCTATTAAATTTTTATTAAATTTTTAAGTAAATCAATAACATTATTTACAATTATTAAATGTTATTTTTAAAAGGTTCTTCAAATTGAATAAATATAAAGTGAATAATATGATGTAGAACCTTTTAAGGTGAGCAAATAATTGTTTTATAGTAGCATTATATTTTCAACTATGTCCATGAACAATATTTACATGGAAATTTCAAAAATCATAAATTTCTCTTAAAAATTATACAATATATCATATTATTGTACAAATATTTGTATTAATTTACCATTGCAAAAATCGTTTTTAGTAAAGAACATTTTTATTCTATAAGAATAATATCTTCAATACTTAAAACCTTTTATCATTTAATTTTTATTCTCACATAACAATTTTTATATAGTGAGTTAAAAGTAAATTATTTTTATTTATGTGCCGCATCTTGAACCTATTTATATTGCGTATCTAAAACAATAATAAGATTAATAAATTTAATATTATATTTATATGTTTCGAAAATCTGAAAAATGTAGCTGTATAACAATATTAGATAAAAAAGATTTTACTAAAATCATTTCAATGCTACTTTTCATTCTTGGATCGAGTGATATATAAGATTTTATAACCTTCTATAAATATGTTCTAAATTATAGATTTAATTTATTCTGACTTTGAGTACTTGAAGGAATATTATATTTGTTGAGTTCTTTGTTTTTAAAATAAAATTGCAAAGGTGTATCTATAAAATTCATAGAAATGGAATTCTAAAGCATATTATATTTATCTAAGAGACAAGCTTTATAAAACCAATTAAATATTCTAAACCCCTTCATAGAAATATTCTTAAATAATTCATATAATAAAGAAATAATGTTAGTATTTTTTTTTTATATAATTATATTTTAATCGGGTGTCTAAGTCAAATTAAGAATACCTACTTTCAGATAATTTAATGAAAGAAAATCGAATTGTTTGGATTTTTTCTATAAAAGTGGGTCTTGATTTGAATTACAAAATATGATTTGATGCTTTCCATTATCATTTATACCAATCAAGTATAATATAATTATATCAATTTTAAATAATATTACTCGTCTCAATGATCACAATTTTAAAATGTAAAGAGCTTTTGAAACTTCTATAAAATTCAATATGTATTTCTCGTATTAAAGTTGAAATCATCAACTTGTTGAAATCATCGGTGTTAATGTATGTAAAATGTATCTCGACAAACTTTATTGCGTAATAAACCATATAATTCGTCTAGCCAAATCATTATATAGCGTATATTCGCCAAGACCTTTTTGATATGATTCCAGCTCGTTCATTGCATTGTATTATATAAGACATGCATAATATATGTAGTTCGCTTGGAATATTCCCATTGCGAATTGCTGACTGTATATAAATTGTGTGAGCATGTCAATATTTATTATATTTTATTCTTTATATTACTATAATATTTATCAAGTCTTAAAATAAGGATCGAAGTTGTTTTTAAACACATGTATTTTTTAAATTAATTTATAAAATTCACCATCAGATACGTGCATATATTATTTAATCATCATTAATTTCTTAGTCTAACACTCTAATCTAATATAAATATGTTGTATTTTCGTACAAATACGTTTTTTTACAGTAAACAAAAACATAAAATTATCTGTAACGTAATATTCAAGACTTTCAACTAGAAAAATTTAACTCTAAATTTCATATTCCTATAACTTACAAGATTCGTCATGGCGGTCAATAAACGTTGAGACTTCTTTAATTTCAAGGTATTAATAACTGTTATTGATTTAATTTTTTTTTAATTTGTCAACTATCTGGGCAACTTGATCTATTGACCACAAAAATCTTAGCTTAATTACAACTATTAAGGAATAATTTTACAATATTGAAATGCAGAGAAAACAATGAACTTAATGTTGATAAACACAATGATGAATATACAATACAATTCTAAATTGTTGTGTTTTTATATGTATCCTTTAATGATTTTAGTACATAGGCGGGGTACTGGAGCATACATTTGCATGATTTAATTTATTTTTTTTTCGTATTTAAATTAGGTATATAATATTATGTATGATTTTTTTTTAAAGATTTTCTACTTCTATAGACAAACAGGAAACGATGTGACGATCACGATATACGTGCAGGATGTACTATGTACATTGTATACTGTGTAATGTATATATAAAATAGGTTGAAAAATGTGCACCTTTCATGTTGTTTTTATTTCAATTGAAAATAGTAAAAGATATATTTTATAAAAGTACTTACAATGTTGTAGACGTTTTCCCAATAGTCCAGTGTAATTAGCTGGAACGTAGTCAACATAGACCACAGGAAATTGTCGAAATTCGTGTAACCGTGATTGGGGTTAGGGCCAACACCAAGGCACACGTAACCAACTGGGCAATGTCTGAAAACAACGGTAAAAAGGAATTGCCAATAAACTTTACACTAAACTAACTCTGTAATATAATTCTACTAAAACACGCTATCCATTAAAATAAGTTTTACATTAATAAAGGTTTATCTAATAATTATATTTTATTATCATTAGATATCATAGATACCTAGGAACATAATAAAATTATATGCGATTCCTGTCCTTTGATTTCTGCAGGTAATACATTTCAACAAATTGACTATTGGAAAAAAGTATAAACCGTTTTTTTTTAAATATAATATTTCTAAATTGATCTATTTTATTTATGAGTTGACTAGTAATTGTTGAATATAATATTTGTAAGGAGATTTGACTGAATACGCAATTATATAATCGTAATTAAGATATCAATTAACTTATGCGTATGGCTTGGTTGTTGGCGAAATTGTCTTTATATATTTTCTATATGGTATTGTTATTTTGAGATTTTTGTTTTGACTGTTATTATTCTTTCTAATACATGTACATTATTCATAGTGGGAATTTATGTTACTTAGAAAACGAAATTGGGCCCGGTGTGCGTAAAAAAATCATGCACCAAAGAAACCTACCTCCACCCTCTAACCATTCGACTTGAACGATTAGTTTTATAATGGCACATTAAAACCCCCCGAAGTGAAATTGCGTGTACGAATCTTTGAAATATTTAATTTGCTTTTCTCACCTCGCCCCAGTCACGTTGCCGCATAGCATTGGGTTGCCTTCGTTGTCCGACAGCCAGTTTTGCTCTTTATTTATCCATCTGAAATACAAACAGTGTAAAGAAAGGGAAGATAAAAAATATGCACGGGAAACACAGAAAATTGAAACCCCAGAGATTAAAAACCATAAATCGACAAAGGTACATTTCGCCGTTTCTTGGTAGGCGAATGCGGTGTGCGGTGTATGTACAGTAGGTACACGAAAACGATACGTAAACAAACGAACCGAGTTTATTAAACGGGTTAACCTGAAGGGAAAATAATGTGCAAATAATAATAGAACAAATAAGGACATTGTTGGGTTGGTATTATCTACAGACGTATTAGCTTACTTAAGAATACTAAAGTTTCAAATAACACACATAATGTGATGTATGATAAGACTAATGCACATTTTACATTTAAATTTAACTAGTGCTTACAAGAAATAATAAGGTAACAATTTAGTGTTTTAATGAGATTTTACTTCTAATTAAAAATATGAATTCAGAATAAAATCGATTACCTTGCGGGTACTGCTATAAATTAATTTAAAATAAATAAGAGAACAGTAGGTAGGTACATAAATATTGCATAGATCTGAAATATGATATTTATGTTTGTGATGTAGATTAACATTAGTTATGTAAAAAAACCACAAAAATGTAAAAAAAAAATATTGGTAATAAATAATAACATTATTTTGTGAATGAACGAAAAACAAAAAACAGAATAGTACAATAAGACACTAAAAATATTATCTGTTTCTACGTTCTACACCGTTTTTCCAAGCATTTTATAAAACACGTGTAGAACTGTAGAATAATGTAAAAATGGGCTTATGGACCCAAATGCCGATTTTCAACCTCTGTTAGTTACGCAGTACACAGAAGTGTTATAGTGGTTTTTTTTTTTTATTCTGTGGTCGCAAATTTATTTTGGGAACGTTTTGTGTAATGCAACATCTGGTTGCAACTTATCTTCCACGCTTGTATTGTTTTTTATTCAATGTACTTATAAAGGTTTTACAAGTATATAAAGCTAATAGATATGGTGGTTCATTAACTATGCTAGAGTTTTGTGGTGAAATGTAGATTTCGCTATTACTCTGATGCCAATATCAATTTAACGTATATAATAAGACACTATGAATACCAAAGAAGACTTAGATATTAATGATAAGATACGATGATTCTATATTTATAACACCGAAATAAACAATTAGGTATTGTGTTTAAAATTCATCAGCATTAAAACGAATTCATATTTTAATACATTGTAATTTAATTTAATTTGTAACTGTATATACGTACTGAGGATATCTGCAAATAAACAATTTTATTTTCCTGAAAAATATTCTTTTCAATATTACCGTGTAAATACATTGGTTGAACTTAAAAAATAATACTTGAACATTAAAACGATCTCCGTTATTACAATTTAAAATTAATGCAGTAAAAAATTAACTAATTAATGAACTATACATTTTTTTTTTTGAAATGGCTAGAGTCAATTCTTAAAGTTGTAATATCGAAACGAATTTACAGTTTCAAGTATAAAACAAATATCATAGTACATGGAATAAACATTTTTATGAATTTTTCCATATTATTATACAATTATAAACATAAAATGGCCTAGTATTTTTATTTTGTTTTATGTGGTGCAAAGGACTGTGATGACGACGTGAAATTAAAGAACAAAAAAAAATAAAATAAAACGAGCAAAAAAAAAAAAAATGTAATGGACACCCGGAGAAAAAAATCACTATTGTCTGTTTTCTTAGTATTATGCCTTTTACTCATTCGGATGTTATTTATTTTCATTCTATTGTTGTGGACATATTTACAAAAACACTATATTTCACTGAATCTTATTTCTTTGAAATGTTCAATTGCACTGGATTTATGGCCTCTTGGCAAGTACTATCCCTTAACCGTGATATTCACTTTTTTGAATCAAGAGTAACAACCGTAAACATATCCCATCAAAACATAAATGTAATAGAAATATAAAATATTCAATTCTATTAAGTTCTATTTTACATAATATTATATATTGTTCAAAAGGCACATACATATTATATGGTTAAAATAATAAGAATAAATGGTTTATTTCAAATACAATACTTGAAACTTTTAAATTTCGTACTATTATTATCTTATTATAACTTTGAGTAGTGTTATTAATGCAACCTATATTCCTCTGTTCAGTTCAAAAACATTTAATAATAATCTAAAAGTTGCAAATATTTTTGGTAATTCGAAATTTGAACTATTTCGTACGCATGATATAGATTATCATCATTATTCATAGATTTAATAGTTTGGAGATTTTGGTAAACATTGATTATTGAGTCATAATTGTTTATTATTTTTAAGCAATTATAATTTTATTCTTAAAAGGAATAGAGTTGTGTACTAGACGATACAGCACTCTATGTCTCTTTTTTGTTATTAATTTTATAGTTTTATAAATTATAATAAAGTAACTGTTTAATCAATATATTATATACGTTGAAATTTTTGGGATTTATTTATGGCTTAGAATATTGAGTAGAAAGAAATTTAACAAAAATATATTTCCTAAAGAAATATATATGAATAATTAGTTTTCGATTACTAAAAGAATATAGTTGTATAAATCCTTCTGCAATTAGTTTTTTAACAACTTAAAAATTAGTATTGTACGTTTAAAATAAACTAATTTCATCCTTTTTTTTATAATTAAAAATAAATGATAAATATAATTTATATAAAAAACAATTAAAACAGAACTGTGTTCCCATAGCTAGATTGCAATAAAAATCCATTATTTTGAATTTAATTGTTGGTTTACTTAAAAATTATATATTTATATGGTTATCAATCATATTTTGCAGGAATAATTTTAAATAAACATTTTAAATGTACGTAGATTGACGTTCTAAAATCAAAATCAACTAAACAAAATATGTTATCACTCATCTCATAAAAAAGTTAAAATTATTTTAGTTTATACAATATTTATTGATCTTACTTTAGCCAATTCACGTTGTCTTCGTTAATCATGACGCATTTATTCCGCAATTCACCCATGTACACTTGAAGCGCAAATAAAGCAAATACCATTAGACAAAATATGGTCAGTGTCATGACTTCAGCTAATTGACGAAAGGAGTGCAACAGGGCGTTGATGATCGTCTTGAGACCTGTATAGTAATATATAAAACGTCATAAATGATAAATTGGTAAATTATGGAATAATAATTTAGTTGTGACTCGTGAGCATTGGTTTATTTATCGAAATACCTGTATAGTGTATACATAATAAATATGAAACTAATAATCAACCAACGGTATTAATTACTTCATATACAAATAATAATTATGTGCTTTGTTATTAACTACTTAACTCACTTCCAATATTTTTTTCATGTGTTTAAGAATAAGTATAAAATAAAATAATTAATAAAATATTAGTTCATATTATAACGATTTTTAATTTTAATTCAAATTTAATTATTCACCATATAAATTTAGTGATTATAATTGTAAATAAATATTCCAGAAGGATAGAAATACAGTTTTTTTTTGCTGCTAAACTAACCTTGAAGTTAATGTTTGCATAGTATATACTATATAATGTGTATTTTAAAAATTCTATGTTTTTTTTAAAGTTATTATAGGAAAACTAGTTTTGATAGGGTTGTATTAACTTGAATAAATTGTTTCTCCTAACCATTTAATTGCACCTGACATTTAGTGGGAAATATATTTTTAATTTTCGATTGATTTGTATTATATATCATTAGCTTGACTACTAATTAGCAATAATTTCATACAGGTTTTACCTCTCTAAATATATATATATATTTTTTGTTTTTAATTAGTTTTATTACACAATCTGTAAATATATTATTTTTACAATAAGCGTAAGTGTTGTAATAGATTAATAAAAAGGGACTGATGACTTGAGCGAAGAATCCATCCAGTGATGGGACTTCTTGCTAAATATATTTAAATCATATTTATGATTCGATAAAAAAAATTCAATATTTTTTCTTTTGTCCGACGGATTTAGTATTATTTATACATTTGTTTAAAAACAACCTCAAATGCTAAAGTCATCCTAATATAAATTTTTTTTTCAGTTGAAGTCTTTTTTTAAATAAATTATATTTGGTAGTCTAGTGTGTGTTTTTATGACAGAAATAATAATAAATCGTTGAAGTTACGAAATTACGAAGTAAACTTTGGGAATCGGGTAATAGACCAAGTTAGATACGACGTTAGTGAACGTTAGGGACGTTTACAACAAACAACATAACCATAGATAAAACCACAATTATTTTTCATAGAATATCACCCAAAATATTTTTTTAATTTGCGCCAAGAACAATATAATTTCTAAGGTATCAATCTAAACGAACTTTATAATAATATAATATACAATAATAAATACTAATATACTAATACACATCATTGACCAGACATTCAACAATATTTAACCACGATAACGTTAAAGAAAAGTATCTGTGAATATTATGTTTGATATCTTGATGGTAAAATTTCATGAATATAATCAATAAAAAATAATTTCTTGGCTGTGCCTGTCGACATAAAACAGCTTAACTCACTTAAAATGTATTTACTTCATAAAACATCAATATTGGTTATATTTTTTTTACAGAAAGATTTTAATATAAATAATATAAAATAATAATTTGTATCATAATATTTTTACCTTTGAACTGTTTATTTTTTATTTTTTTCACACCTAGAAGTTGAGACTTTTATATTTATTTTTATATTCTTATAATAAATATATAATCCATACTAGGTAGCATAATAAGTATGTGTGAAAAGAGACTTAAGAAAAACAGGAATACGTGATTAAGAAGTCACCCACTAGTGACTCTTTGCTTGAGGGAAGTTGAGACTTAAGGCTAAATTTGTGTGTGATATATAATTAGATAGTGTTGTGCTTTGGCATGGAGTTTGTTAAATCTATAAAAGATAAACCAATATTGTCTTTAACAAAATGGTTTAATACAGCTAATATATAATTTAAACAAAAATAAAATTTTTTAAAATACAAATAAGGGTTTAAAAGATTTAAAACCTAGATTTGTTTAGATTAGATTTGTGTAAGAAAAATATTTAAAAAGTGTCAAAACAATTGAAATCCTGCTTTATTTGAAAACTTGAAAAATAAACTAAGCTCATACAGTTTATATTGTTTTCTTGTAAAGGATGTTCTATAAGCCCTTTTCCTACACAGTGATTTCGGAGTGCTATAGCGATGTTCGATACTTTTAAAATAGACTATTGTGACATCCTATTACCTTCATCTTATTATTTTTAAATTATAGACCATAAAGAATACAACCATTTTTATAATGTATTTTTGATTTTTTTTTCGCACATATAACAGGAATTTCCAGCTCCACGACGACTTCGTATATTATGTTATAATTTACTAGTTATATAATAACACTAGTGTTTTTTTTATTAGTAGACTATTCGACTATTTTTCGTCAATTACTTTGCACATCTCCAAGAACAGTACGCTAATACGTTCTGAATGCGTACACATTAAGACGGCCCGGCGGTGCGAAATAAACGGTTTGGCCGATCGGACAAGCCGCGTCAAGTGTTATCGGTCCGTCCAATACTTGTAACTGATTGATCACCGTCGTGTAAGTCGTAGTATTTTGTATCGTGTCTGCTTACAAGTCGGTTAAAGCCCGTGCCGAGATTGTATATCGCATTATCGTGTATGCCTAAAGGAGATACGGTTGGGCAGGATCTCATCGGCTCATTAGACACTAGGTGGTTCTTGTATGATATTATAATATATTTTTACAAGATACGTTTTAAATTCAAAAACAACACAATACTTCTTTCACTCTGGGACCGAAAAATGAATTGTCTTTTCTTTAGCTTAATCATGATTGTATTTATGTAAATAACGCATAAAACATCATTTTGCAAAGTACATAAATAATAAATGTTTGGGTGTTGACTTTTTGATGAATAAACAAAAATAAATAAATACAATTTACCTAGTAATCCATAGAAATTAAAGGTACCTACTATCTGTAATATTTTAGATACATAATTTAGCCTATCTTGTATATTTTGTATGCACCTTGGTAGTTGATCCTTCACCTTGTATCTAGAATCCTAAAATAAAAATAAAAATACCTTATATCTTGTATCTAGAAACTTTTTTTCCCCTTATCTTGCTCAACATAAATAATGAATATAGTGAGTATAGACATCGAATCACCTACTCCACTTCGTCCAAGTATTGTATACAGTATACTACAGTTGTTGGTCTGTGGAAAATAAAACAGCTTTACCTCTGCAAGTACGACTGTATGACTTAGACGCCCCCGTCGTAGCACTCGTATATTACACGCAGCAGCTAGGGTGATCCTTTTACATCGAAACTCTCGATATTATTAATCTAACCCAATCCTGACCTATAGTAGTTGGAGGGTGGTTCGATCCAACTTTTAAGTTACGTTAGTTTATAAATGCCCAGTGTTCTGCGATGGAAGAATCACTTTGTATGTCCATACCTACTATGTATATAATATAATATGCGTACGTCACCCTATGTGGCTAACCACGCGTTAAGGAATGCATGTTGGTTTACCGCATGTGGACTAAAATGTGTACTATACCGGTGCGCGTTTCGACGTTTATTTATTCGTCAAATTCTGCAGTTTCGCGTGAACTGCACAAGTCGGTCGCATGTCATGCTATAATAAATAGTTCATATGCCACCATCGTAGTTATGCAAAAGCGAATTGTGACGTCAAGTCTCGAGCCACCGTGTAATACGCCTGTCCATTTATATTATATTATACGAGTATTCGAAATTATCGGTGTACCGATAAACAATATACGTATTATATTATATTGAACTAGATTCACTGAAACCAACGAGACTACGAGATAGCACAATGCTTGATGTCTCGTTTTTAATCAAAAGTTTTGCGAGGGCATGCATCGATGTTCCCGAATTGTTGTGATATTAATTTTTGCATGAACGAATAAGTGATCAGCTGCAGTTATACGTTCACGTAAATCATTTGACAACAGAAGGTATTAAATAAAATATTTACCGTCTCACTAATTTGTCTGTAGAATATATCTATCCTATAATATACATATAGGTACCTACTGAAAAATAGTTTATGATGAAGATCATTGTAAATAATTAATAATTATAGAGCATGTTTGAAATAGTATTAAACACGCCACCATGGTGGTAAAAAGGTATGTTTAAGGTTTCGAAATAATTGTCTTAAATGCGGTATCAATACATATTGGATTGACAAAATAATACAATTGAGAATCAAGGAGATCATAATATTCAAGTATTCAAGTTTCAATACTTTGAAGTAAAAATAAAATGTTATTTGAGTTAACAGTATATTATTTTGGGTAGCTGGTAGGTAACAATAAGGTGACAGCTGATGTTAAAATATTTTCTACCGTTATTTATATGACTCTTACTAACGCAGTTTTATTGGCGTACGTTGCAGTGCCCATTGAAGGTTTAAAGGTTTACCTCAAGCAAAGAATTAATGAAAAAAAATTGTTGCAAACCCTATTGTTTTTCGAAACTAGGTGTACTCAGAATCTAAAACAGGAGAAGCCACAATAACGGCATAATAAATTACTAATTTAAAAATTGTTCACTGTTAATATGCACTGTAACCATAGTTACGTGATGTACTCACACGCAAACGTACAATCTTTACCAAAATGAATTATACTTTATTTAAACCTAAGTTATTTTAACTATTAAAATATGTATATATGTATGTATATTTTTATATTTTTTATATTTATATGTGTATTGTGTATATAATGTACACACAATACATATCATGAACTGTTAAGTTTGTGTATAAAACAATTGTTTTTGCCGTAGAATGTCTGAATATAAAGTTTAATTGCAAACATATTAAGTAGGTAATATTGTAGTTTTTTATTGTTACAAATTTACAATGGTATTTCAGTACAATTACATACGACCAACAATATACACAGAGTTAAGTTAAAATAATAATATTTAAAAGAGCTAGCTAGTATAAAGTAGGGAACCGCTCTCCTGTACAGAAGCCAGGAGGTATCGAGTGTACCTCGATTTGAGTATAGGTCACTGTAATTCTGATGCTTTAAATTTGAA